AGTCACTTGCTACAAATTACAACTTTAATTTTTTAATTTTTTTTTTTTTAATGTTAAGGTGACCTCTCTGTCATGTACCTTTATTCGATTATAGTTATATTTTTTACAGTATGATTTTCACATACCGTATATATATTTGAAGAGTACAACTAGTCATACATGCAACTTTTGGTTGCCTATTTAAGTAGTCTGTTTATTACTAAGTTCTACACTAGATGTTATACCTATAATCTGACTAGAGAGTTATCTATTTAAACTCTCTTCACCTATGTGATTACAATTTTTAATTTATTTATACTATCGCAACTTTAATTGTATTATAAAAAAAAAAAATTGATATTTGTAATAAGCGATACTAATTGTAATTGTTATTTAATTCAACTTATTATTTTATTTTTTAAGCCTATTAGAGAATTTTTTGATCGCTATTGTCATTCTTATTTTTATTTTTTTTCAATAAAGAAGTGTGATAAGATTAATTATAGTTTATATTTGCTGATTAGAAGTCTACAACATATATTTGATTCATTAAATCATTTACCTGATCCACTTCTAGCAAATAGTGATTATTACAAAAACTTTAATAATGTTTATGGTATAAATACAGATAAATCATATTGTCTATCTATACAGTTATATAAAGCAAAATTAGATAAAAATAAAAAAAGAAAACAAAAACAAGATAAACAAATACTATAGACTAAAAGTGTACAAAAAGCAAAAATATAGGCATAACTGTAACTTGTATGGAGTATAATAAATTAAAATATTTATATGCTTCTAAAAAGATTACAAATAATAAAAAAATATTTTAATAATATATTTGGATACTATATACTATACTTGCAGTACTACTTTTATTTGTTAAAGATTTATAGAATCAAATAAACTTTCTTTTTTCAAAAACAAGATATAAGTGAAGTAGTAGATGATGAAATAGTAAATGATGAAATAATTAATAATGAGGTATTAGACAAGATATTAGAAAATAAAATATTAGAAGATGATATATTGAATAATAAAATATTAGATAGTAATAATTTATTTAATATAAAATTAGATAATAAACAAGAAGAAAAAGAATCATTAAAAAATAGTTTGACAGAAGATATAGATATTCATACTAAACAAAATAATAAAAGTCAAAATTTACAAGATATTTTATCAAAAATATTTGTAAATACTGCATTAGAATACTACGATAAAATAGAAAAAGCTTATTATTTAGCAAATTTTCTTCCTGTATATTTTAATTATAGTTCATTAGAATATATAATATCTATACCTAAAGATTAATATCTGTACTGTGAATTATATACTGCTAATTTTGATGTAAAAATTAAATTAGAAAAAGGGTTAAAATTTTTATCAAATACTACTTCAAAAAAGTAAAAACAAAGTTTTTAGTTTTATATAGTATATTCATATAATGCTTATAAATAATTGTATATCAAATAATTAAGCAATAATTCTAATAATAAATAATAATAATGCTAGTATAAAAATAGTTACTTAAAATATATCGATTGTAATTTATTTAAGTATTAATTTAAAGTATAATGTAAATATTAAATTTCATTTATAATTAAATTTTTTAAGCTAAAATTTTTTAGATTTGGCTAATATTATATAACTTAAAAAATAAAAAAAAATTTTTTATAATATTAATATGACCTGGCCAGTGATGAGAAACGGATAATTTTATTTGTATAGCCTAAGATCAATATTAATATAATTATTATTTTCTATTTTTATATTTAAATCAAAAAAATTATTATAAATAAAAATTTATTTTTATCAAAATCACTATACAACTTTTTTTGCCAATCATTAAAACACAAATTTTTATGGAAAAACAAATTACAAAATCAACAAAACTCAAAAACAGCACTAGAAAAAAAGCTTATATGACTAAATAAAGAGGAAAAAGACACAAAACAACATTCTGTCTCTTAGGAGACTGGAGTTAAGAAGTTGATACTCAACAAGACATAGAAGAAAAACTTGAGGATACAGTAATTTTTTGCTATCTGTAAGCAATTTTCTAGAGAAAACACTTGACCCTGTAGTGCAGATATGTTGATATAATACAACTATGCAATATATAACAAAAAAAAAACAAAACAAATATATAAATCAGTATATAACAAACAAGATAGCAAAAACAATAACAACAAAAAAACCAAGTTACTTATATTATATAAAGTATAAAGAAAAAGAAGTTTTTAGAACCGAACAAATAGTACAAATTAGAGCAGCTACAAGAATTATAAAAAATAGATAAAGCTAAAATTGAAGTATACAAGCAAAAATATAGAAAACATTTCAACAAGAATACAGAAAAAGAACTAGAAGAAAAATGTTATAATTTTATTCTATATTACAAAATCACTATGGTTCTGCCAAATACTATAGCACAAGAGCTTTTGATAATTTTTTTATTTGCAGAAAAAGAACAATATATAGAAAGATTAGACAAACAGTAAATGAAAATTTAAATAAGTTAAAAGGTAGACAAATTAAGAAAAACAAGAAAACATTACAAAAGCTAGCTGAAAAATTCAAAACTAAAATAAAAAAAGCACAAGAAAAACAGTTAAAGAAAAAGAAAAAAAACCTAAAACAGTTAATAAAGACAAAACAAGGAAATCTATAGAAAAAGATATAGAAAATATCAAAATAAAAAAGGCTTTAAAAAAAATTAACAAAGAAATACAATATAGAATAATTGAAGCAAAACAAACTACAAAATTAAAAGAAATAAAAAATATAGATAATAGAGCAGAAATATAGGTTTTACAATAAGTTTTAAAAAAGCTATAAAATAAACAAGAAGACTGAGATTTAATTATAAGAATTGGCAACAATCTAAAAGAAAAGTAGTCTAGCTTAAAACCAAGTACAAGATTAATAGTAGCAAAGCAAAAAGAAATACAGATCTAGAAATAAAAAAAGAAAAAAATTCAAGAAGGAAAACAAACAAGCCACCTATTGACAACAAGACAGAAATTATCGTAAAAGAAGAAAACAAGAAAAGTATCAAGGCTTTAAAAAAAAAAATAAAAAGAAAAAGAAAATAATATCAAGATAAACAAAAAAATCTTAAAAAGGAAGAAACAACAAATTAAAAAAAAAAAGAGAAAAAAAAGTACTTAGAAAAAAAAGAAATATAAAATATCAGTATACAAGACATAATATGAAATATTGACAAAAGAGAAGAAGTTCTGAAAAATAAAATAAAAAAATAAAAAAAATGAATAAAAGAAAGAAAGAAGAAAGTATATAACTAATATAAAAGATTAGTACAAAGAAACTAAAAAAAGAAGATATATGTAGAAAAGAAATATACAAATTAAAGAAATAAAAAAACAAAAAGCAATAGATGATCTAGAGCCACAAAATTATAGAAGACAAGCCAGGCTATCAAAGAGAAAACAAATTCAAGCAAGACAAACTTGAACTAGAATCTAGTTCCAGAAAGTTAAAACTAGAAAAGCTGAAAAAAGAAACAAGAAAAAGTCTAAATTTAAAAATAACCTATTATCAGAAGAAAAGAAGAGAAAAGATAATACAAAAAGTTAGAAATATAAGAAAAATATATAAAAACTTGAGCATTAGAATTGTTTTTAGAAGTAATAGATTAGAATATACACAATATAATAGTAGCAATTCAGTATTTAGCATTGTTTGCAAGTACTAGTCATAGCCAAAGCATCTTTATGTTGTAAACTATAAATACAATTAGATAGTTCTGATAAGATGTATAGCTACCAGCTAACAACTGAAGAGAAAAATGTTCTTAGCAAGTTAAGGACTCAGAGAGAGATCAATAGCTACTAAAACAGGTTGTATTGGGTAAAAGTTTAGTAAGCTTTTTGTTTGTTTAGGTTAGATTAGCTATAGATAGAAATTTATGTAATTTTTTGAATAGTTTTACTTTTAAATAAACAAAGACAAGATTGCCAAATTACTAAAAAAAAATTTGTTTTTATAATCTTTTGTTGGATAAAATAACTTAAATTATAGGCAAGTAAATTAAATAAAAAAAATATATATAAATAAAAAATAATAGAGATTTGCTATTTATCATCTGTAGCAATGATTGCTACAATGTAATTAATCAATTAGATTGCAGAATTAGGTATAATATTTGTCAGGGATGATGCTGAAATCGGATGATGCTGAAATTCACGTGATCACATGATGATCTTCCGTATAAACAAGCCT